TTTTTTTTTTTTTTTTTTTTTTTTAATATGTTGCCCTAGCCAAAGAAGGCTCAGGACAGCTTATAGTAATGCCCATAGTGGAAAAACTTGAGGACCAAAGGAGAAGGTTAGAGCCAGGGTATGCAACCCCTGGCACAGGTGCCAGAGTATGGCATGCACAGGCTTTCTGCTTGACACACGCGCCTTGGGGTGGATGATGGAGAAGTGGCCAGGGCTGCAGTGCTATAATAAGGATCAGGCCCCTTGCAGCTTCCTGCTGTCTGCCCCTGGCATACCAACATCTTACAAATTGAGGTTGCAGGTGTGTTTTGTCACTGCCCAAAAGTGTAGCTGATACCTAGGTTAGAACAAACAGACAATTGAGCACAGGGCAAAAAGAGATCTCTAGCTGTAGAGTTTTCTGAATTTCCAGAGGATGGTATGTTTGTTTCTTGTGGCAAGAATCTCCTGGCTGACTTCTCTTGGCAGTCCCCCCTGGCCCCCCAGGTCACATGCTAGTGGGAAAGGAAGGTAGCATCTGCATCATGGTGCCCTCAGAGCACGCAGAATTTCCCCTGCATAGTTCTTAAGTGCAGTTTCCAAATAACTTGTTGTCCTACTTAGAGTGCATTTCATTAATCAGACCTGGAAGGGGACAGAGACATGGCTAATGGTGATTTTTACATCCAAGTGAATGGTATAACTGTGTCAGATGCTTTTGCAGTACCCGTGTGCCAACCCCAGTAGTCATAACAATGGGATCCATAAAGATACCTAGATGGTTGATTTAACTATTATAAAATTTCCTCACAACAGTATTTAAATTTCTGTTTCTTTGTTAATATTCTGGTAATTTTGCTATAAAGGAACATTTTACTTCGTAGATGGTGTTGCTTTGTAATGCTTCACGCTGACCAAGATGGGGAGAAACTGCAAGCCTTGCTTCGCCTTGTGACAGAATTACTAGAAAGGGTCAAGGTGGTTGAGGCTCTCAGTACTGTTCCTCAAATGTACTGTCTGGCTGTGGTTGAGGTTGTGAGGAGAAAAATGTTCATAAAACACTACAGGGAGGTAAGCATGTTAAATGATTTTGAATCTCCACTTTTTGTGTCAGCTTCTAAACTGATTAACTGATTATATGTATTTTCCAAATTATAGTGGGCTGGTGCTTTAATAAAAGATGGGAAACATCTGTATGAAGCTGAAAAGGCAAAAAGGGAATCGTTTGGGAAATTGTTTAGTAAGTGTTTTTCCTTTTCTGTAAATTCTGTAAAAGCCTCAGTTGCAACTACCAGTTGTGTATTTCTGTACTCTTCAAACAATGATAGCTGTATAATTCAGTACTCTTATTAATATAAATTGAATTAATTACATAAGGAATATCCAGAATGACTTGTATAGATGTGCCATAGATGGTATTTCTGTGAATAAAATAGATCAAAATGTGTACACAAATATTGTGTTTAAAGTTTTTTGGGGGTTTTTTGTACAACATATTTTTGAAAATTCAGATAATTGTTAAAGTATTTGTAGGACAACCAAACAAAAACATACGCTTGAAGTATGAAAAATGTATATAATGCATTTACCATTTGAAAATTACTTTATGCAAATTTTAATCTCATTTCAAAGTA